CACCCCACCTCACCTCACCTCACCCCACCCCATTGCCTCTAATTTCTAGGCGTCGGGTCGGGTCTCGGCCTTCTCTTCTAACTCCCAGAGCAATGCAGCTGCAGCGCGTGTCTCAGTGCACTCTAGTGGATCAGTAGCGCACCTGGAGACAGCTAAAATGCGTTTGTTTTCTTTTCTTTTTTTCTTTTGTTTTCGAAAACTGCATTTCTCGACTGGAAACCTATTGCACGATACTTTATAAAAAAAACGTGAACATGAAACATGAAAATGTCTACATGATCTTTTTGCCGATATATTTAAGCTGCATATTGTCTTCGGCACATCCTGTTTATTTTTTCTCGTATGTTCTATTGTGCCATCTTAGGTGTCAAGCGCTTGTACCAGTGTATATACTTTGGTTTCAAACATTTTGCGTTGGCGAACAGTGCTAGTAAAACCTAAACAAAATGTTTTGATTTTTTGTTAAACGAATGCCAACTCGTATATTGTTTTTCAGTGACCTCGTACACCTGCTGGGTTTACATTCGGCAACTGCTTTGTTCCCAGAAAAATGGCCCGCCTGTGAACTCTCTATTTAAGCCCGCGAGTCTGTTGTCCTGTTCCCCGATGTGTGCTGCTTCTCCGCCTGCCAAAAGCTACCCATTACGTTACCCACGGACCGTAAACGTCTATTACGCTGCGCGGTGCAACATCTTTGCGAAAGTAGGAGCTCTTTTAATACAATGTTGAGTGGCGCTGTTTCTTTTCTTTATTTCTTTTTTTTTCTTTCTTCGCGTAACCCGACTTTCGCGCGCGATTCGCCGGTGGCAGCAACAGCTGCGCTGGCCACACCGCGCGCTCTCGAATTGACACCCGTTTCTCGCCCTTTGCAAACGGTTTCTCTCAGGCGCACTTGGGAGGTTGCCATGAAGTGCTCAGGAAGTGCGAACGATTGTAGGAACATTCCGTTTACGTCGATTTTACGCGAGCCAGGAACATATACTTTTGATTTCCTGTGAAGGAAAAGCGTTGACGCGTCTGCAACCGTGCCAAAACACCTAAAATGTATGACAAGCGAAGATGACTTGAACAGTTTCGGAACTGCGGTTTTCCTCTCTTTTTACGATCGACAAACGTCTTGTAAAATTCTGTTGCACTACGTTAACGGTGATGAAGAAAAGTCTCATTTTCTAGAAAAGAACAGCTAAAGTTAAGCTTTAAAATAAAGTTTCAAAATATTTTTTAAGATAGTTACATGTTCTATTTCGTAATACCAGTTGTTAATGTTTTTCATGTTCAAAATCTATGGACCCCCAAAAAATATATTTTGTTCCAAAGTTGGGCAAATGTAAGATACCGAAGAAAAAAAGTGTGATTGTTCTTCTTTTCAAATAGTCCGTTATCTTCAACTTTACCCATGCGTGACATTCCTCTAACATCCGAGATCCTTCACGTGTACTAATATTCCTTAAAATTGATAGTCTTCATTTCGCTTTGGATAT